GAGAGTATATTGCGACCAGAGACGCAGACCTGTGCAGAGAGACAGACCCAGTAGAGACACAGATCCAGTAGAGACAGGATCCAGTAGAGAGACAGGATCCAGTAGGTACACAGGACCTGTGTAGGAGACACAGGATCCAGTAGAGACACAGGATCCAGTAGAGAGACAGACCCAGTAGAGACACAGGATCCAGTAGAGACACAGGATCCAGTAGAGAGACAGGATCCAGTAGAGACACAGGATCCAGTAGAGACACAGGACCCAGTAGAGACAGGATCCAGTAGAGACAGGACCAGCAGAGACACAGGATCCAGTAGAGACAGGGATCCTGCAGAGACAGGACCCAGTAGAGGCTGGACCCAGCACACAGACCTGGTGGTATAGTAACCAGCAGAGATATTGGACCTGCAGAGACACAGGCCCAGTAGAGACACAGGATCCAGCAGAGACACAGGATCCAGTAGAGACACAGGATCCAGAGACACACAGGATCCAGCAGGAGAGACAGGAGATCCAGCAGAGACACAGGATCCAGTAGAGACACAGACCAGAGACACAGGATCAAGTAGAGACAGGATCCAGTAGAGACACAGGATCCAGCAGAGAGACAGGACCTGTGCAGAGCACACAGACCTGCAGAGACACAGGATCTGCAGAGACACAGGATCAAGTAGAGAGACAGGATCCAGCAGAGACACAGGATCCAGTAGAGAGATTGCGATCCAGTCAGAGACACACAGATCCAGCATGGTGGGATCCAGAGACACAGATCAAGCAGGAGACAGGATCCAGTAGAGACACAGGATCCAGTAGAGACACAGGATCCACAGAGACACAGGATCCAGTAGAGACAGACCCAGTAGAGACACAGGACCCAGTAGAGAGACAGGATCCAGTGCAGAGACACAGGATCCAGCAGAGTACAGGATCGCAGAGACACAGGACCCAGTAGAGACACAGGACCTAGTAGAGACACAGGATCCAGTAGAGACACAGGACCTGTGCAGAGACACAGGATCCAGTAGAGAGACAGGACCCAGTAGAGACACAGGACCCAGTAGAGACACAGGATCCAGTAGAGACACAGGACCCAGTAGAGACACAGGATCAAGTAGAGAGACACAGGACCAGAGACACAGACCCAGTAGAGACACAGGACCTAGCAGGAGAGACAGGATCCAGTAGAGACACAGGATCCAGTAGAGACACAGGACCCAGTAGAGCATAGGATGACCCAGTAGAGACACAGATCAAGTAGAGAGACAGGATCCAGCAGTATATATTGCACCCAGTAGAGTATATTGGACCTGTGCAGAGCATTGGTGACCCAGTAGATACACAGGACCAGTGGTATATTGGTGATCCAGAGACACAGGGACCAGTAGAGACACAGATCAAGCAGAGACACAGACCAGAGACAGGACCCAGAGACAGACCTGGTGCAGAGACACAGACCTGGTAGAGACACAGGATCTAGAGACATATGATCCAGTAGAGACACAGGATCAGTAGAGCATGCAGGTGATCCAGTAGAGACACAGGATCCAGAGAGCATCAGGATCCAGCAGAGAGACAGACTCCAGTGAGAGAGACAGGATCCAGTGAGACAGACCCAGTAGAGACACAGGATCCAGAGAGACTGGGAATCCAGAGCATACAGACCCAGTAGATATTGGGCTGGGACCTGTGCATTGGTGACCCAGTATATGCACCTGGGTAAGAGGATCCAGCAGGAGGCATATATACACAGACCCAGAGACACACAGGCTCCCAGTAGAGAGACAGGACTCTAGCAGAGACACAGTACCAGTGAGAGTATATAGGGACGCAGGAGACAGGACCCAGTAGAGCACTGGGACCCAGAGACACAGGTATCCAGAGAGACACAGATCTGCAGGAGACACAGGATCTGCAGTAGGACACAGGATCCAGTGGCATAGGATCCAGCAGGAGACACAGACCCAGAGACACAGGACCCAGTAGAGACACAGACCCAGTAGATAGCACCTGGCAGTATATATTGGTGACCCAGTGAGACACAGATCTGTGCAGTAGATTGGCCAGACCCAGCAGTAGATGATTGGACCCGTGCAGAGAGACAGGATCCGCAGTAGAACACTGGACCCAGCAGACATTGGACCCGGTATATCATTGCGACCCAGCAGAGACACAGACCCGTGCAGATAGCAGACCCGAGTATATCATGGTGACCCAGCAGCATTGCGACCCAGTAGATAACATTGGACCCAGAGAGCATTGACCCAGCATGCGACCGCAGTAAGATATGCGACCGTGGAGGATTGGACCTGTCAGAGCATTGCGACCAGCAGATGCGGATCCGCAGTGGCACAGGACCCAGTAGAGACAGACCCGTGAGCATAGCGTCAGCAGTAGACATGGATCCAGTAGAGAAAGACTCAAGATAGAGACCCGCAGAGAATGAGTAACCTGCAGAATATGATCCAGCAGAGACACAGATCCAGCAGAGACAGTGGATCCAGTAGAGACACAGGATCCAGTAGAGACAGGACCAGTATATATGCAGATCCAGCAGAGCACACAGATCCAGTAGAGACACAGGATCCAGAAACACAGATCCAGTAGAGACAGATCCAGCAGTATATTGGTGACCAGTAGAGACACAGACGCAAGAGCACACAGTAGTGACAAGCAGTAGAGCACAGGATCCAGCAGAGAATAAGGATCCAGCAGAGACACAGGACCAGCAGAGCATGTCATGACCGGGCGAGAGACAGGATCTGGTAGCATATGGACCGGGAGAGATTGACCCAGATATTGGCCAGACCTAGAGACACAGGATCCAGCAGAGACACAGACCTGTGAGAGACACAGAAGATCCAGTATAAGATCGCGCAGAGAGACAGGATCCAGTAGAGACACAGGATCCAGTAGAGACACAGATCCAGTAGAGACACAGATCAAGCAGAGACACAGGATCCAGTAGAGAGACAGGATCCAGTAGAGACACAGGATCAAGTAGAGAGACAGGATCCAGCAGAGACACAGGATCCAGTAGAGACACAGGACCAGCAGAGGCAACAGGACCCAGAGAGAGACAGGACCCAGTAGAGACACACAGGATCCAGTAGAGAGACAGACCAGAGACACAGGACCGCAGGAGAGACAGACCAGCAGAGACACAGACCCAGTAGAGACACAGGACCCAGTAGAGACACAGGACCCAGTAGAGACACAGGACCCAGTCAGAGACACAGGACCAGTAGAGACACAGACCCAGTAGAGACACAGGATCCAGTAGAGACACAGGACCCAGTAGAGACACAGGACCGTGAGACACACAGGACCCAGTCAGAGACACAGACCCAGTAGAGACACAGGATCGTGAGAGACAGGACCCAGTAGAGACACAGGACCCAGTAGACACACAGGACCCAGTAGAGACACAGGACCCAGTAGAGACACAGGACCCAGTAGAGACATGGGACCCAGTAGAGACACAGGACCCAGTAGAGACACAGGATCCAGTAGAACACAGGATCCAGTAGAGACACAGGATCAGTAGGAACACAGGACAGTAGAGACACAGGATCCAGTAGAGACACAGGACCCAGTAGAGACGCAGGACCCAGTAAGAACACTGGGACCCAGTAGGGAGACAGGACCCAGTAGAGACACAGGACCCAGTAGAACATGGGACCCAGTGAGAGACACAGGACCCAGTAGAACCTGGGACCCAGTGGGAACACAGGACCCAGTGAGACACAGGACCCAGTAGGGAACCTGGGACCCAGTAGAGACACAGGACCCAGTAGAGACAGGACCCAGTAGAGAGCAGGACCCAGTATAGACACAGGACCCAGTAGAGACACAGGACCCAGTGAGACACAGGACCCAGTAGAGACAGGACCCATTAACACTGGGATTCATGTAACCCGGCCAAACTTTAATACTTGTTAACGAAATTTCAAAGTATTTTTTTATTTACTGTTAATGGTTTACTATTTTATCGAAAATTCTTCTTAAAATTGATCGAAAATTCTTAAGGTTTATTTAGGTAAGACTCTCAGATACACCGCTAATAAAAGATCAACGTATATAATCTCGACTTCGTGAGAACATTTCCAAATCCTTGATACTATCTCACAGTTTTAACCCGGCGTCATAAAGTGCCTCACCTCACAACTTATAACCCACACGTAAATATCACCGACTTTCATATAAATGCCCCGGTTAAAATGTTCAACAATTCAACGTTAAACATTATGGCATTTTAATGGAGCATAAAATCAAGACAAAAGGTCACTCTCGCCCTCCACTAACACCGAGTTACGATAAAGAATTTCACAAAAGAGGCAGCATAATGGTGTTCTACTAATGCTACAATTAAACCTAATGTCCTCTCCTTCCTCCCAGTGTTACGGCGGTAAGGATCCTGTTCTACCACTACCGCGAGATAACATAACACGATCTCGTCTTTTATCCCCAACACCCATAGGACTTCAGTCTGTTTTGAAAGACACATTTCCAACTCTAATAAAACACACAAGAAATACGCAACTACCTTTAAAATGAATACAAGAATATACATATATGTCTAACTTAGTATATCTGAGATGCCAGGATATATATTGTATATCACTTATCAACTCAAACAATAAGAATAATTCCTTTTACGTACCTTTGTTTACGACACAGACTAATACAAGTTAATACACAACAGGGAAAACTGACTTACCTGGTAACACAGACTTCTGACACGACCTCTAACACCTTGAGTGCCAAATGGATAGTGGTACTTATGACACAGGTGGGAGGCTGGGGTGAACATGACACAGGTGGGAGGCTGGGGTGAACATGACACAGGTGGGAGACTGGGATGAACATGACACAGGTGGGAGGCTGGGGTGAACATGACACAGGTGGGAGGCTGGGGTGAACATGAAGTGGGAGGATGGGATGAACATGACACAGGTGGGAGACTGGGATGAACATGGCACAGGTGGGAGGATGGGGTGAACATGGCACAAGTGGGAGGCTGGGGTGAACATGACACAGGTGGGAGGCTGGGGTGAACATGACACAGGTGGGAGGCTGGGGTGAACATGACACAGGTGGGAGACTGGGATGAACATGACACAGGTGGGAGGCTAGGGTGAACATGGCACAGGTGGGAGGGTGTAGTGAACATTACTCACCAGGTGGTCCCGGCAACACCATTACTGTGTGGAGACGCTTAACAACAGCGACAGTCACTTACCTGTGAACACAAGGACAGGTAATTAGGTCATGACAGTGTAATATAATTATCTATAGTCACCTGTGGACATAGTGAAAGTTGGTTAAGAAGATTAGTGAAGAAAGTAAAAGTAAATATCACCATCTTGACGAGTATTAGCCTTCACATAACAACCAATGATTATTTTTTTTTACTATTTTCCAGTTAATTTTCCTTGTAAGTCACACAGGCTTATGACAGAAGGTTTTAGAGGGAACACACACAGAGATTTACGTCTTCCTTCACATCTAACCACTGATGTTATTAACCTAACTGGTGCCATCTCTTGGGACCATAACACGGCCACAATCACGTGAATGTGTCCAATAAAAACACAGGACAAACACGAAGCTCTTTTTCTACTGGGTCGTCTATATTTTGGGGTTTAAATGACTGTATATCTTTCAATTTACAGAAGACATGTCCGCCCTCACAGGAAAAGTCAAGATACATGGTAGAGATTAGGTTAGGTTACGTTAGGTTTACTTGAGTATCTTAGGCGTGGTAGTTATGACAGGTGGGAGGATGGGGTGAACATGACACAGGTGGGAGGCTGGAGTGAACATGACACAGGTGGGAGGCTGGGGTGAAGATGTGAATATGACAGGTAAAAAAAAAATAGATGTCAGAAAATGAAGATAATAATAATAATAATAATAAATAATAATAATAATAATAATAATAATAATAATAATAATATATAATATAATAATAATAATAATAAATTTGAAATAAGTATAATAACATAAACTCATCAGATCATCTTTTTTTTTCTTCCCAATTTCCATATAATTAATTTGTCGAAATAATATAATTTTCATATGGAATAATATTAAGTGTATCTATTCCACTCTGTCGTAATGAGCACAAGACTCAGACGTGTGGGGCCCTGTATAATCCAGACGTGTGGGGCCTGTGTAGTTCAGACGTGTGGGGCCCTGTGTGGTTCAGACGTGTGGGGCCCTGTGTGGTTCAGACGTGTGGGGCCTGTGTGGTTCAGACGTGTGGGGCCCCTGTGTAGTTCAGACGTGTGGGGCCCTGTGTAGTAAAGACGTGTGGGCCCTGTGTAGTTCAGACGTGTGGGGCCCTGTGTGGTTCAGACGTGTGGGGCCCTGTGTAGTTCAGACGTGTGGGGCCCTGTGTAGTTCAGACGTGTGGGGCCTGTGTGAATTCAGACGTGGGGACCTGTGTAGTTCAGACGTGTGGGGCCTATGTAGTTCAGACGTGTGGGGGCCCTGTGTAGTTCAGACGTGTGGGGGCCCTGTGTGGTTCAGACGTGTGGGAGCCTGTGTAGTTCAGACGTGTGGGGGCCCGTGTAGTTCAGACGTGTGGGGCCCTATGGTTCAGACGTGTGGGGGCCCTGTGTAGTTCAGACGTGTGGGGCCTGTGTGGTTCAGACGTGTGGGGGCCTGTGTGGTTCAGACGTGTGGGACCATGTGTAGTTCAGACGTGTGGGGCCCTATGTAGTTCAGACGTTTGGGGGCCTGTGTGGTTCAGACGTGTGGGGGCCTGTGTGGTTCAGACGTGTGGGGCCCTGTGTAGTTCAGACGTGTGGGGCCTGTGTAGTAAAGACGTGTGGGGGCCCTGTGTAGTTCAGAAGAGTGGAGGCCCTGTGTAGTTCAGACGTGTGGGGCCTGTGTGTGGTTCAGACGTGTGGGGCCCTGTGTAGTTCAGGCGTGTGGGGCCTGTGTAGTTCAGACGTGTGGGGGCCCTGTGTAGTTCAGACGTGTGGGGCCCTATGTAGTTCAGACGTGTGGGGGCCCTGTGTAGTTCAGACGTGTGGGGCCTTGTGTAGTTCAGACGTGTGGGAGCCGTTGTGTTATAAAAGTAAAAACTGGTTCACACTAGACCATTTTGACGGCCGTTTCTGACGTCATATAGCTATCGATGACGTCATACCAGCCATAAAACTCAATCAACCAATCTCAGAAGAAAATCATTTTCAATCAAGTACAGATAATGTAATCAACCTCACATTCGTAGTTGGACTGATCTTGTCTCCCCCCCCCACCCAATCCTCAGACCAAATTTAAACTTATTCGGTCTATCAATTTTCGAGATTTAGTCTAAAGGAAGTTCCATAACATCTTAATGACCTTGACCCGAAATATATTAAGTTATTCAGTAGACAGCGGTCATTACAATTACTAACTTCATCGGTATTAAAGTTACTATCGTTTTATTACACAGACTCTTAAGACGAAACCAATATCCCCTGGGACCCTTCTTGAGGCAGGATTAGAGTAAACAAAGCGTTAGAGACACGATGAGTTCAGCCTGTCAATAAGTTCCAACAGCGAGTGGGGAGAGTTTGAACTGAAGGCTTGGCTAACGAACTGAACTGAAGGCTTAATGGGAAGACATAAAATCTTGGTCTGCAGTTCGCTTGGCTTCGTTGTGGCGTGGCCTGCTCGGTGAGGGGTAAGTCGGCTACTCTGTGACCCGCTCCTGTGATGATGACAACCTAACCTAACCTAACCTAAACCTAACTCGAAATGAAAGCCTTGTGGACGGAGTTTATTAAATTATATCGGGCAAACTCTATCTTATGGACAGTAATATGCAGTGACTACTCCTACAGAAACATAGAGGCAGCTGTTTACGAAAACACTCGTTAACTAGTTCAAAAAAAGGATGGTTCAGCCACAAAGGATATACAGTAGAATCAGAGAAGATTAACAGAATTGTGTACTGTACTTCGGAAGAGGGAAGTTACCCCAGACACACACTAGTATATAATGTACTCCGGATAAGCCACCACAGTACCTGACTGGCCAACAGAGGAAAACAAAGGGGTTGTCATCGTCCGTCAACCTCTCTTGTATATTGTCCTACGTCAATGATACTGTACTGAGAGAGAGAGAGAGAGAGAGATCAAGTCATCAGCAAGTATTAACTACAGGGTGTCCATAAATGATTACTCTGATTCAAGCACGGTCTACTGCTGTTTTAGGGTATATTATGGACACCTCTGTATTACTACTAGACTACTACCACTACACTACTACTAATAACCCAGGTCCTCCAACAGCAACCCAACCTAACCTAACCAACCTTAACTAACCTAACCCAACCTAACTAACCTAACCTAACCTAACCTAACTAACCTGACCTAACTACCTAACCTAACCTAACCTAACACCGTGTTCCATAGTTTTACAGGTATTGTTAATGAAATGATATCACTGAGAAAATTCTAGTTTCTCTCACCATTTTTGCAGGACGGGAACATACAGTATCTGACCGACGAAATATAGAACATATAACAGTTTGACATTTAATGGAAATTTGTGAGAATATTGGATGAAGAAATGATTGTAAATAATATAGTTTGTGATTTCCCCATAAAAGATGTTTTTTCTAACACAACAACAAAAAACAAAAACATCAAAACAACAAAACAGCAACAATATAGTAACAAAAACAGCAACAGTAACAACACAAACCAAACAACAACAAAACAACATAAACAACAACAACAACATCAACAAAACAACAATACAAAACATCCTACTACTACTACTTTTTTTAAGTGGCCTCCAGCCTCCCCAATAGCCACCTTCGCCACCATTTATTACTTTAATATTAAGTATCCTAATACAAAGTAGCTATCCTAGCTGGTTGAATTAGTTGAGCCTCAGGTCTATGTGGCATTCAGTGACTGTAGCCTCGTAGTCAATATCTGCTGCAGCTGTTGTCGGCTTTGGAGCAAGCTTTCGTTCCCTCAGGCAGAGCAAAGCCGACCGAAGGAGAAGGACAGTCGACATCTCATCCAGGCTGTAACATAACTTCTGGGCTGCTGCTTCTGTTCGGAGATCCCTCCGCGAGTCTGGCGTAGAAACATCTTGCACTTGGTCCCATCCACCAGAGGTTGTGAATACTAGAGAGTGAAGCTGCCTTGATCAATGTTCTGAATTCTCCCGTATGCCCTTATCTTGTCGTTCTCGTTCCTCCTGTGCAGCATCGAGGCTAAGTTACGGTGACATGCGGCCATGGGATAAAATCCTGATGTCGAAGGCGGCTCGCTGTCCCTGCGTCCAGAATCCTTGAGCACTGACGTCAACACGGGCTTCGTTGGATGTGTTTGAAGTCCTATGTTGGAAGATCTCATCGTCCAATGGAAGGAGGTCGGTTCTATCATGACATCGCGGCAGATTTCCTTCAACATATTTGCTGCGAGATCACTCGTCATGCCTCATGCATATGAAAGCCCCTTTCTTGCACATCATGCCGTTATCGACGTCATAGGAAGAGCCACACACGCATTGGGAGGTGCAACCTTCCACTGGCTTACCGTACCTTAGAGCATTGGCATCTGTAAATTCTTGTTTATTAAAACTGAAACCATTTGCCCTTATCGGTAACGTAGTTAACCATTTCGAGGCGCACTCCTGCGCTATAGTTACTTTTTTTCAAATTCTCTGGTACTTGCAGCAGCAGTTGTTACAGCTTATCACTTTGGCCGTGCTGTCGTTCTGTCGTAATGGACCTTCGAATCTTGATTACTTCACTGGTATCCTCCTGTTGCATTCTGAGCTATTATGTGGTCCGTGAGGTTGCCGTGAGCTTAACTGAGTTTTGATGTTCGTGGCAGCAATCTCCTCTGGATTGGTTAGTCCCATTCCTCCCAGTCTCGGTGGTAGTGCAAGAAGTGCTCTTTCTGCTGGGGTTAAGTCGGTGTTTCACTAATTTGGGAATGAACTTGACGCTGATAGCTTCTTCCAGAGGGTGGAGGAGGGGTCCGATATCAGGGATAGTGCGCATCAGGTAGTTCCGGCGATGCTTGACTCCATGGGTGAATGCCGCAAAAGCCGCATGTGGCTCTGTGTTAGCAATCTCAGACAGAGCTTGGATTTTCCTAGCCCACTCATTCACCTTTCCCGTTACGTACTCGGTCTTGAAGTCCGTCGTGTCAGTTACTGCGCCTATGTGTCTTTGGCCATCCTATATTTTGACCTCACATCCGCCAAACACCTCCATTGCCCGTTCATAATGTTCTGTCTTCACAATGAGGAAGGACTTGCTGGGGTTTGGGTGGTACCCTATTTGTGGGCTCGTGTTACCAAGTCCCACCACTTTTGATGTCCTCCACTTTTCCTGCTCCTGTAAGGTCATCAGCGTACGCCATTTTTTTGACCTCAGTTGTTTCAAATTAATTGTGTGTTGGAGCACGGATAGCTATTACTACTACTAATAATAATATTGTGTGTTCATATTTAGCTATACACGATACTATATGACACAGACGCATTACTGAAGCATTACATATCTCATTAATCATTATACCATGACTTTGAGTACGATGACTTAACTTCCATGAGTACGATGACTTAACCTTCCATGAGTACGATGACTTAACCTTCCTGAGTACCATGACAACTTCCATGAGTACGATGACTTAACCTTCCATGAGTACGATGACTTAACCTTCCTTAGTACGATGACTTAACCTTCCATGAGTACGATGACTTCACCTTCCATGAATACGATGACTTAACCTTCCATGAGTACGATGACTTAACCCCCTTGAGTACGACACACTGTTGGATATATACATACAACGCTATATCAAACTGGTGGCGTAAAATATGAGGGGCGTAACTTGTAAATAACTTTTAATTATGCATTGTTAATTATCTATATTTTATTAACATTAGCTGGTGAAGGCGGTGTAAAGTAGGTGATTAAACCCGTAAACAAAATATATGTAGTTTTATAAAGGGAAAATATTTTGTTGAGTTAATGTACCTTATCTATCTATCTATCTATCTGTCTATCCATCTATCTATCCGTGGTGGTGATGGAGGTTGGGGATGTCTCAGGTGTCCAGTGTAATCATTGGGGATAGTTTGTTCTCTATCACCTTAGTAAACTCCTTCCTAATGGCCAATAAACCTGATAGTAAACTCACCTTAATGATCACTTCGGGAGGAATATAATTTTCTAATTCAATCTCAGACACACAGTAAGAATTAAACCTCAGATGATTCACGACAGATTGACTTTTCCTTAATAACTCACGGAAGTATGATTTCATTATATATTTTCTAGTTCTCGAAGGTATTTCAGTTCGTCTATAAAGGTTCACTTCATTCAATTTATTCAATTTCCTTCATAGAGATTTCTTCTTTCGTCTCTTGGATTAATATTTCCCTCAGGTCTTGGTTATGTTGATTATTTCTCACCTATGTTGTTATTACTTCATGTACTGTACCTGTCGTCTTGACCTCGCCTGATATAAACACCTGTTCCATTATAACTTGAAATTGTGGCCCCCTTAATGTAAATAATCCTCATATCTATAATAAAAACTCTTCAATAACTATTACTTAACAGGTTAGGTTAGGTTAGGTTAGGTTAGGTTAGGT